GCAGCTCATCACTGGTTAGTTTGTCATTGTCTTCCTCCACCAACTCTTCCACGTCCTCCCCACTAACCTCCAATCCCAAGGACTTCCCCAATGCCACAATGGATTCCTCAACTGGCATAGGATTCCCAGGGTTAGCCTCAAATCCTTCAAAATCCCTTTTGTCTACACATTCTGGCCACAGTTTCTTCCAAGCAGAGCTCAAGGTCCTCTTAGTCACTTCCTCCCAAACCTTACCTATAATGTTTACACAATTGAGGATGCTAAAGTGATCTCTCCAAAACTCTCTCAGAGTCAATTGAGTTTGAGGTCACTACAAAGCACCTTTCAAACATAGCTTTTGTGTACAGTTTCTTGAGGTTGGAAATGACCTGCTGGTCCATGGGCTGCAGGAGAGGAGTGGTATTAGGAGGCAAAAACTTCACCTTAATGAAGCTTGTGTCCCCAGAAAGTCGCTCTGCCACGTCTGAAGGATGACCAGGGGCATTGTCTAATACCAGGAGGCACTTAAGGTCTAATTTCTTTTCAATTAGGTAATTTTTCAACAGTGGGGGCAAATGCATGGTGTAACCAGTCATAGAAAAAGTCCCTAGTGAACCATGCCTTACTGTTTGCCCTCCACAGCACACACAAATTAGCCTTGACGACATTGTTTTTCCTGAACACTCTGGGAGTTTGAGTGATACACCAATAAAGGCTTCACTTTGCAATCACCACTAGCATTAGCACACATCAACAGAGTAAGCCTGTCTTTCATAGGCTTATGTCCTGGGAGTGCCTTTTCCTCCTCAGTAATGTAGGTCCTGCTTGGCATTTTCTTCCAAAACAGGCCTGTTTTGTCACAAATAAACACTTGTTCAGGTTTGTCCTTCATTGTCTATGTACTCCTTGAATTCCTGCACATATTTTTCAGCTGCTTTGTGGTCCGAACTGGCAGTCTCACCATGCCTCATCACACTATGTATGCCACTACGTTTCTTAAATCTCTCAAACCAACCTTTGCTGGCCTTAAATTCACTCACATCACCACTAGTTGCAGGCATTTTTCTAATTAAATCCTCATGTAACTTACTAGCCTTTTCACACATGATCGCTTGAGATATGCTATCTCCTGCTATCTGTTTTACGTTTATCCACACCAATAACAGTCTCTCAACATCTATCACTTGCGATCTCTGTTTCAAAAACAAAGTTGCACCTTTGGCAAGAACAGCCTCCTTGATTGCCGTTTTCTTGGCCACAATAGTAGCGATGGTTGATTGGGGTTTTGTGTACAACCTAGCCAGCTCGGAGACACGCACTCCACTTTCATACTTAGCAAAGATCTCTTTCTTCATATCCATAGTAATTCTCACCCTTTTTCCTAGGGTTGACACTAGAAGCTTTCTTGGGGCCCATGGTGACTTATTTTGCAGGTGCAATCACTAAAAAGGCTGTGATAATATGAAGTGTTCCGATTGTATGCTTGGAAGCGACCGCGGTGTCTGGCTTGTAAACACTGGCACCCACGGAACAAGTGAGGCGGGCTCAGGCCGCACGTGGACGCATCTCGAACGAATCGCGTTGAGCGAGTTTTTTAGCGCTAGCCGAGGCAAAATTTTTGCGTTAAAATGTATCGCTAGGCGGATTTAACGTTATGCGATGCGTTCGTTAGGCGAGGGTCCACTGTAATGTATTTACTACACGTACATGTCATACAGGCTTAGCTGACATCAGTGACATACTACTAGTATATAGAAAGCCGCTTGTTATGCAGAGTATTTCAAGCAAATTAGGTCAGTGTCCCAGGATAACACCTACACCAGTCGGCTAACACCCAGGTACCCATTTACTGATGGGTGAACATAGACAACAGGTGTAAAGAAACATGCCCAGTGTTTCTACCCTGGCTGGGAATCGAATACATGTATTTACCAAAAATCATATATGGCTAACCCAAGCCAGGTACTAGAAATAAGCCACATTGTCTGACTTTTTTGGGTTATCCTAGGTTCTCTACACACATGCTGCTATGTGTGATAATCTATATAGAGAAAATAATTTTTTTTTGTTTCAGGTTTATGGTGCAGTACGAGTGTATATCACAGTTAGCCCTGTGCTATACTCTGTTTTCTCTAATACAAGCCCCCAAGACAGGGATAGGAGAATGGTATTTGTATACCATATCCTCTTCATACCTCCGTCGAACTTCTCGGCATTATGCCAAATATTATTCATTCTGGAGTATTTAACATATATTGTTTATTATGTCATATTAGATCAATTGTGATAGGCAATAAGCTGTAGTGTTGATTTTTTTTTTTTTTTTTTTATCACACTGGCCGATTCCCACCAAGGCAGGGTGGCCCGAAAAAGAAAAACTTTCACCATCATTCACTCCATCACTGTCTTGCCAGAAGGGTGCTTTACACTACAGTTTTTAAACTGCAACATTAACACCCCTCCTTCAGAGTGCAGGCACTGTACTTCCCATCTCCAGGACTCAAGTCCGGCCTGCCGGTTTCCCTGAACCCCTTCATAAATGTTACTTTGCTCACACTCCAACAGCACGTCAAGTATTAAAAACCATTTGTCTCCATTCACTCCTATCAAACACGCTCACGCATGCCTGTTGGAAGTCCAAGCCCCTCGCACACAAAACCTCCTTTACCCCCTCTCTCCAACCTTTCCTAGGCCTTTCCTAGTAGTGTTGATATTAGCGTAATTATAAAGCATATTCTCCTGCATCACGAGACTGAGCTCATGGCAACCGACAGTGGCTTCAAAGCCAGTGTACTGTGTAGGTGCTTTACACAACGAGAAGCATTTCTTTTATTCATTGGAACCATGCCTAGGGCTAAAAGTAAGCAGGTTATAACAAATGGAGAAAAAGAAATTAGAATGACTTGTGCAGCAAGTAGTGCCACCAAACAGTACCAGCAGGTTGGTGTGGCGACCCTGGAAATTTGAAATTATGCTAGCCAAAATTAGTGCCGAATAACTGAAGGAACCAAATAACTGATTGCCGGATTTCTGATGGCGGACCTGTAGTATGTCACTGATGTCAGCTAGGCCTGTATACCTTATACATGTACGTGTAGTAAATAAAGATATTATTATTATTATTATTATTTTATCAATTGTTTGTTGGGTTATCTTATTGAAACTTGGGCAATGTATGATGGAAAGATACTTCTTAACGTACACCAAAAGTGAAAGAAATCAGACCATAAATAGCGGAGTTCACTTCTCAGCCATTAGCGGCCGCTTAGCGGTATATTTTTGTATGGTTTTTATGGTTATATTCTCGTTTTTTCAGTCTCATTTGATGGAATGAAAGATATATTACAGAAATAGATATGATTTTGATTGCTTTCATGACGAAAAGTACCTTGAAATTGCGCTCGCAGTAGTGAAAATGTTCTATTCTTTAGCAAAGCTCAAGAGTAAACAAATGACGTCACCGTCCAATACCTGTCTACCTGCCAGTCGAAATTCCAATACTGAATAAAAAATGGGTTGTTGGAAATTATTTATACAATTATTACAACTAATGCAGCAGTTGATAAACAGTAAATCTTCTATTAATTTTTTTTTTGTGTGTGTGTGTGTGTGTGTGTGTGTGTGTGTGTGTGATGTGTGTGTGTGTGTGTGTGTGTGTGTGTGTGTGTGTGTGTGATGAATAAAATTCCAGATGGGCGTAAGCAAGAATAATATAAAAGGGGCCGTAGCCATCACTAATGAACGAGAAAAGAAAATGTTATTTTAGTGCCGTGAATGTCTGCATTTGTATATTCTGGACCATATTTTTGAAATTGGCATTGTTGAAATTTGTGTGAATTGGCCAAAATTGCCAATTTTGACCACTTTATTGGGGTAGTGAAATAAGGTGAATTGGGCGGTTTCTTGTACTCATGTCGACAGACTAGAGTAAGTAAATAAGTAAGTTTATGCAGGGTATACACAAATGTTATCGATTATTATACATAGCAGCGCTATGTATAGACAAAGTGACGTTTTCCAGTACCTGGCTTGGACTTGTCTATCTGATTTTTGGTAAATATTTTTTCTTTATTGTTTGTTGGGCTATATCATTGAACTTGGCGCCATGTTGATGGAAAAGATGTTTATTACGTACAAAATTAAAAAAACATTGGACGATTAAATAAGGGAGATTCACTTCTCAGCCATTAGCCGCCCTCTTGCGGTCTATTTTCGCATGGTTTTTAGGTTTGTATTCTTGTTTTTTTTGGTCTCATTGATTAGAATGGAAGATATATTACAGAAATAGACATGATTTTGATTGCTTTCCCAACGAAAAGTACCTTGAAATTGAGCTCAAAGTAGTGGAAATGTTCGATTTTTGCCGATGTTCAATGAACTTTGTGTAAGTCAAGTTGGTTAATTTTATTAAGTGTATTCTAACCTAATCACTCTGTAATCCAGCAAACTAAGTAATCCGGCGCACTACAGGTCGCAATGATGCCGGATTTGTGATGGATGACCTGTATCACACAAATATTTACTTTAGCTTTACGTACAAAAAAAAAATGGTAGCATAACGTAAGTATAACCAAGCAGTCAAAAAGGCACACGGGACTGGTTCCTAATATAAAATAATGAGAACCACCACCGCTTAGACACCATGTCATGTAGGGGGGTATTGAACATATTGACGCCTAGATCTGACGCCGTCAAGAACAAAAGACCTCAGACTTAAACCGAAAGGCGTGTCTGACAGCTATTTGCCAAAACAAGATGTGACCATTTAATTGGTTAAATTAGGTGCCCCTTAGCGACCTCAAAAGCACAGTTGAACTACTTCACAATTGTTCATGAGGATTGTGTAGTATGTTCTTTATTCCAGCAGATTCTGTTAACCATTTGTTCCATGCAAACTTTTCATAAAGCCCCACTAGCAATCTGGTGTCTCTTGGGCTAATGTGTTTCCAGGTACTATTTCTGGTACATTTCTTTTGTGCATAAACACTGCACAGTTAAGTAATACCAAGTTAATCTTTCAGTGCTACTTCAACTTCAACATGGAAGTTTGTTATTGATGAATCCTCCAACAAACCAATTCTGGTATCATGCATTACCTCCACGGAAGTCTGCACCAGGGGTCAGAATTAACCTCACTTTTAGGAAGATTATTACCTAATTAGCCTGTGAGTATATCTGCAAATTAGACGGATTCAGTATTATATACTGTTGATTTTCTATCAGTTAAGAACTTCAATAATTAATCCATCTTAAGTTTACCCTCCTATTCTTTCATTAGTAGTCTACATTGTTCCTTTCTGTATTTAAAAGTACCCAAGTTAGAATGTCTGTGAGCATAGTTTAGGTATAATGTGTTTTAATAAACCTGATACTTAAATTAGTTACAGTATGTAACTCCTCTTCAAGGGGGGCTCTTTTTTTTGAGCGTTGGTGAGAGGCTTCTTGGTCTGAGGAAATAGCCCTGTCGGTCTTCTTCCTCAGACCGAACCTAATTACCCCCCATTCTCCCCTCCCCTATCCCATCCTCCCCATCCTCCCCTTTTTCCATTCCTCCTCCTCCTACTCACCCTCCCTTTTGCCCTCCTCTTTTTAGGGCCTTCGTGATTTCTCCCCAGGCGTGCTAGTTCCTAGGTAGGAGAGAAAGGACACGGGGCTGATCCCATTCCGTTGTGGTTTCTTGGCCGGTGGGTAGTTTGCCGTGGAATCTGGATTTGCCTAGGGATGTCACGATCCTCTCCGGTTCCCGGAGATAGATTTGGGTGTCTTTTGGGCGTCGGTGTATCTCTCCCCTGGGAAGCCACTTTCGGATTCGGACGGTGGTGCGCTTGAAGGAGATTGAGGTATGCTTTGTGGCGGATATCCGGCCGCCCTCTCTTTTGTCCACCGGAGGTAGCTCGGCAGATGTGAGGTTGCTATCCCGGATTGCTGGTTTACTGGCATGAAGGGGGTAGGGTATGGCACGGGTCTCCCATGCTGCATCTGCGCTATAGCGGTTGTCGAGTCCTCTTGGGCGCGGGGGAGATTTCAGGCCCCTTCATTCCTCAGGGAACTATTCTCCCCCGCTCCCCCCTTTTTTTTATTTTTTGTTGTTTTTATTTTCCTTTTCTTCTTTCTTTTTTTTTTTAAAAACATAAAAAGCAAAAAGGAGTTAACCTAACCCATGGCAGCCATTAAGTCCATGAAACCACTACCCCGGGCCCTTCTGATACGGCACCCCCATTCTGACCCTTGTTTTGGGCCCCTTTTTTTGTGTTTAGACCAATCTTTCGGACACTCCTGATGCCCTCTGTACCTCTTGCTAGGTGCTGTTTCCTCACCTCCGCTTCCAGGTACCGGCGGTCCGGGCTTCGGACTGAACTCTTCGATTTGTCTGAACTCCGCTCTTCCTTTTGGACTATGCTCCGGTTCTCCCTCTACCGGTACGGCAAATTTTCGATCGCCCACCAATTTCATGCCGGACCAACTCCGGTCATTCTCCTAACCCAACGCAATCTCACTGATGATGCTCCGTCGTTACCTTCCCATTTCTACTCCGGAAACGGGATCCGCCGTCAAGCACTCCCTCTCCACGCTCAGTTTTCGGACCACACAATGGATAACTTCTTTACTTTTAAGGACCAACTTCTTCTTCTGCTACCTTTTGCCATTGTATTGCCAAGCGCTCCTGCGGTCATGTTGGCAGTGATTATTTCATTTCACGCTCTCAAGAGCGGTCACGCGCATGTCACTGTACGAATGCTACCCAAGCTCATGATCTTCTCTCCTTTCGCAAATATCGATGCTACTCCTATCTCTATTGAAAAACATCTATCTCTCAATTCTTGATAGTGGTTCTAGTCATTCTCTCTGCCCCCATACCATAGTCCAACAGAATTTCCAGTCATGTGGCAATGGACATTTTTGAACAGCTGGAACCCAGGATCTCCAATCCTCAAAGTAGCACTTTTGTCCTTCCTGCCCGGGGGCGAGACGTTACCCTTGCAATGTGGCTCGTTTAACTTTGACATGCCGAGGAACTCCCGGTCCTAGGTATATGTCGCGGGTCATCGTGTTACAAGTTCGAAAGGGGATACTACACGCAAACAATGTAGAAATTGCTGGGTTTTGGTCACCCAGCGAAATATTGGCAGTATCTATGGCCGCATGCCCAGTCTGTGGTGCCGAAAACCATTCTATATACATCTTGGGCAAGTCAACTCCATCTTGCCTTATTGTAATGAGTCCACCCTTCGTACTCCCGCCGTTGCCAGGTCTACTTAATGAACAGTGAAATCCGTTGCTCCATAGAGGCAGCACGGTCTCCCTTATGCTTATGGCAGTTACTCATCTCCGCCTCCAAGGGAGACTACCCGTGTTTTCTTATTCTCGTGTTTCCAAACATCCCCCACTTCTGGGGTCCCATCTTTCTGCAGCTCCTCTGTTGTTACCCCTCCCTTAGCCATTACGGCATTCTAATCTTTTGCTGTACTGGCTCTGAGTCCCGACTACAACTCGTCTGTTCTCAACATTTCGGCGTCCTTCCTCAAGCCCCCCAGTATCGACAAGACCTCGTAGAACCTACTACCAATAGCCCCTCTACTCAGAAGTCAAAATAATCCACATTGCTCAAATCTTCTTTGCCCCTCCTCCCTTCTTCCACCTCCACACGTTCCTTTCCAGTCTCTGTACCTAGTTCTTTCCCCTCTTCTCTGGCTCTATTACAAGTGTGGAGATTCACCCCTTCTCGTTCTATGCCTTCCACCCCGTCCCCTCCCAAGTTTCTCCTCTTCTGTCACCTCACAGGTTTCACCTCTTCTGTCCCCCCCACACTTCATCTCCAGGGTCCCTTACACTATTTCCCTCCCCCTCTCTTTGGTCAGTCCATTACTGTCCCACATCTTTACTCACCCTCCTCTCCTATCTTCCATATGGTTTCCCATACATCTTTGAATTCAGAAACACTTGAAGCCCATTTCAGAATTATTGCAGAGACTAACACCTTCAATGGACCTCAGATATCATTCCTGTTCCTTCTCTTCCTCTCCTCCATCTTCACAACCCCATTCTTCGCAAAGCTCCGTTCTTCGCTACTTGAACATCTTCCAATGCCACCACAGTTGACATTTTCTTAACCACCTCTAGTCCGTAGGTTGCCGCTTTACCTACAGATTCCTGATATTTTCTTCATCGCCAATCATGGCCTATTTACAGTGGAATATCCGCGGCTCAGGGGTTAATCGGGGCGTGAGTTCGATGTTGCTTTCCAGGTTTTCCCCTGTTGGTGGCTTGCTTACAAGAACCAAGAATTACACTCGGCTGTTTTACAACCTATCTCAGGCTATAATTTATTGTATTCTTCGGTTCCTTTTCTCAGAATGGACCTTTAATGAAAAGTGCCCTTCTTCTACGCAATGTATTTCCAGTACTGTCAACTATTTGTCCATACCTCGCTTCCATTACACTGCGCCAGTATCCACTTGAATAAGTGGTTTACAACTAATGTTCTTTTATATATCTCTCCTTCTCGAGCATTTCTATCCGACTTTGCCTTTCTTGTTTCAACCTTACACCACCACTTCTGTTACTCGGTGATTTTAATGGCCCACCATTCCTCTGGGGGGGGTCTCATTGTGACTCACGTGGCATTCAGTTGGAGGCTTTTCTTGCTCTCACCCCCTCCATGTTTCTAAATACGGGTACTCCCACCCATTTTGATCATCGTATTCATAATTCTATCTTGCATCGATCCTATCTAGTCTGCTCTTCCTCCACAGCACTAGACTTCACTGGTCTGTTCTACCAGACTTACATGACAGCGATAATTTTTCGATCATTCTACTTCTCCTTCTATTCACCACCTTCTACCGTATGCCCTCGCTGGCAATTTGATGGGCAAATTGGATCTTACTCACACCTCACTGCTTTTAGTGAGGTTCTCTTCATCCTCCATGTGCAGCTCCTACACATCTTCTCGACATTAGTTTATACGCAGCTTATCATTTATACCCCACACCTCAGGCAGGGGCATTCTCAGAAGTGCAGTGCCTTGTGGTCTCTGCTTGTGCCTCGTACAGTACGTTGAAAACGTGCTGATTGGGGCAGGTACCGGTACAATAGAAACCGCTGGATGAGGAGGAGACTTGTTGATTTTTTAAGCAGAAGCGTGCGATCGCTCGCAGTGTAATCCGTGAAGCTAACGCACTTCGTTGGCGAGACTATGTTTCCACCATCACCTCTGGCTTCTTCTATGAGATGAAGTCTGGAAAAAAGTGGAGGGAAATTGAGTGGTATTTAATACTCTCCTGACCCGGGCTCCTGTTCTACGGGTCACGGTGTTGATATAGCAAAACCCTTCTCGAACGTTGCCATTGAACTTGGCACAACATTCTGGTCCGTATTCCAGGGGCTCCATCGATGCCCCTCGTATCTATTCCTCAAAGTCTGCCAGAGAGTTAGGTTAGTACCATTGGACTTTTCTGCTCTCGGAGAAGAAATCAGTATAATGGGCCTTTTACACCTTCAAGAACTGGAGGCACGCTAACTGCTTGCCGATCATCGCAGCTGGGGCTGATGGACATTCATATTCGTATGTTACAAATTTACATCGGTCAGCCCTTGTAGTCCTCTTACACCCTCTTCAATCTTATTGGGCCCAAGGAGTCTTCCCCAGCTGTGCGAAATCTGCCATTGTTCTCCCTGTCCGCAAACCGGGTACTACAGGACATGATGCTCCACTATCGCCCATCGCTTTACAAGTGCAGTTTGCAAAGTTGATGGAACGCCTCGATCGACGTTTAATGTGGTTTTAAGAAGATCACAACAGTCTCTCCGCTAGTCCATTTGGCTTTCGTAGGGTGTTCTACCATAGACCCTTACTACGTTGGATAGATGTTCGTAATGCCTTTGCGAATAATCACTCAGTATTTGCCATATTTTTGACCTTGGAAGGGCATTGTCACAACTGGAGGTATATTTTTTGGACCAGGCCCATTCCTTAGGACTCCGAGGCAATCTACCATCCTTCCTTAAGAACTTTTTAACTGACAGACATTTCCGTGTTCGAGTCAATATGTTCTTTCCCCGGACTTGTCAAGCTGAAGGTCTGTCCTCAGGGGATGTGTTCTAAGCACAATACACTGTTCTCCTTGCTTATAAATGATTTGGCCTCTGTT